AAATTAATTTTGAATAGAATACGTTTGAATCCCCTTTTTTGCTATGGAGACAACTCCCTTGAAGAACTTTTGTTTTGCATATTTCTTAGCCACCATACACACATTAGCCCTGTGCCTGTGTCGCAAATCACTAATTTGACCTTTAATAAAATCCCAAACAGGAACTGACAACAATCCTTACACTGTCTTACTTTTTTGTACCATCACAATGAAAGCTGATGCATCAGTTACGACAGAACGGCTGCAGTTTCCACTCGTTTTTCCTGAACTTTTATTATCTTTGTTGTTCTATAAATGTACAGATATTTTCATTGTTTAATATCGGCCCTTCAAGTTCATTTTTTTCCAATTTATGAAATAAGAAAGTTGCTGGAATACCAGGAATTACTCCAATTGGCATGAAAGTAATACATGGTAGAAGTCAGTAACCCATCCAGATCGTATAGAATTCATGAACCATGTGAATTCACTGCTCCTCATTCACCCTGCCCAGCGCTTATTCTCCTAGCCTTCACTTTCTTTACAGTAGAAGCTCCTTTTCTTCTTGTGCTGGAAGTGGCAGAGATTTGATGGACATTCCGTTGATTTTCCCTATAGTAGTCTTAGATGGTTATGTAAATCCATAGTTTACCAGTTCGTACTTCGTAGGTTGAATGGGTATTATATTTTGATGGCTTTGTTGGATCATTGTGAACCAGAGAACCTCTATTGTTATATGGCTATGCCTCAATACAGTAATCTGGAATAGAAGTACTGTATGGTAACGTGAAAAAGGTAGGATGAAATAAATAGCGACAAAAAGTGTTATTGCCAAAACTGACATGGTAATCAAGTCCTGGACCGGTTCCCATCCAGGCCACATAGACCTATTGTCTCTTCTAGGCAGATCAACTGGTATCCATATTTTCTGGGGTGACCCAACCGGAAACTGACTCATTGTAAAGCCTCGATACCCATTTACAGTATCATCATCTGNAGTAGAGTGGAGCGAAATGCTTGAAATAAGGGGTACGGTGGCTTCTGGGTCATGAAGTGCCAATTTATATTGAATGACGTGTGATGGCGATGGTTTGATTCATGCGTATAGAATTATTTTGATTGAGGGTCAGTCATCAATGCTCCACTTTGACGATTTAAATCCCACGATTATCGTTTCTTAGATTTGGTTGTTAGCTGGCCATTCAAATTCTCGTGTCAACTTCGCTCCGTCAGCTTTTTCGTCGAAGGAGAATCTCCTACGTGTCAGTGTTCGTGTCACTCTAAGCAATTCGTATTGTAGACATTGCCCTGGATTGCCTGAGAGGACGCTCATGTAATTGACGAGGTCTTAGAAATGGCCCTACGTAACTCGAGTCCAGTCAGCATCAATGGCCCCTTCACAGTTACTGATCTCATTACCCTTCTCGCACTGATCTTCTTTTCTACCGAAGTCGGTGAGTATCTTCTTTAAAATAACTATTTTCGAGTACTGTACTGCCTACACTACTCAAGAAAGGGTGGTCTCAAGAGGGGTAGGGTGCATTAGGATATCAGCAGCGCAGCGGGTGAAAATGTTGAGAATCCTATGTGCGGGTTCGAGCTCATCTGAGAGCGAATGGCAGGCTCAGAACTACCCACTCAAAGAAGCAAAATATGGCAGGGCCCTACCAGAAGAATCCAATGAGTATATACCGCGCAGGATGCCATGTCTCTTGGTCTCCCACTAACTTCGGAAAAGGAAAGTCAGAGGGAGTTAGGGAGCGTGAAGAACGCCTGTAAAAGCGCCTGTAAAAGCCATGCGGCTGAGAATTTTTCGACATATCACTTGAATTCTAAGACAGTACTGTAGTGCTTCGACCTCATAAATGGGGCCTTCTTCCATTTAGAAAACAACTCAAGCGCAACTTTCATGGCTTATCTTGTGAACCACATCGTCTCCTTCCTTTGCGCCCGCTCATTGTTTTCTTCATGGTCATTCCGTTAGCAGAGCCAACTGTTTAAAGCACTTCCCGCCAGTATAACCCTCCCCGCCTTTGCCTCCCTCCCTTCCTCATCTACCCGTTCACGTGCTACTTGAAAAAGTCAATATTACTTTTTAGTCAACGAAGTCAAATTAACATTGAACATAGCAATCTTAGTTCAGAAAATTGGAATTGGTCCCGGTTAGCCTTCACTCAACCTTCTGTAAGGTTAAAAGGATAGTTTATGAGAACGCCTGAGTAGGGCGACTTTCCTTTTCTTATGTTCAGGCGACCGAGGCATTCATTTTGAAAGCGAGAGGACTGTCCTCTGAAAGGGAAACATTTCCAGGTCAGGAATGTGAATAGCGCGAGCCACTTCAATAGAAAATCGACTCGCGCTTGAAGATTGGTTTATTTGACGTGTGTTCCAGTCTGAGAAGGTTCAAAAATGTATTGTTGTTGGTATACGAGTGGCGGAACTTTCCCATCATGGCTTTGTGCATGGTATGGGTAGTCCCAAAAGATTTAGCCAAACACAACTTAACTAATCAAGCGATCTATTAATTACGTAGAGAAATCCAATCAGGGTCTAATCTTAAATGTTAGAAAGAGGCAACAAGTAAATGGTCCACTTTCCGTTTTCCACATGCTTCAGATTGAAGCTAAACTGAGCCGAACATCGAGAGAGGAGCTATTTCATGAAACCTCCACGTCCTTTGTGCCATAGCAATCCTTAAGACGCGTCCTTATTTTAGAAACTCCGTATATCATGCAGATACAGTTCTGCTTGGGTTCCACTTACAATTTTGTTTTTCATTTTGCCATTTTTCAGCTGCATACCACAATTTTGTGATCGAGAACTACAGCGTTGTACAAGGGAACGTTCTTGGTCAATTCGACGTGCTAAGCTTGGGAGAGTGTTCTTTGAGATGCCTAGCAGTAAGTTGAAGTTGAAATCTTTTCGCAAATATGAATGTCAAACTTCAGCTTTTATTCGTTATTTTCCTGTCATTTATTCATTCGTTCATCTTATCAATAGAGAATTATGCTGATAGGTCTGATATTCTGGATGGATGCTGATCCATTAGCGCATTTACAAAATTTTGTCTACAATTGTGTCACTTAACATTTCATTTTTGTACTCGTTCTGTACTATGAGACTTTCTCAAACAATAAACTCTCTTATTAAAATTGCAGCAGTCGGAATGCGCTGGATTCAACTATTTTATCAACAATGACGAAAAAGCCCAGTGCCTTCTTGTTGGCTACAAAAAAGCCGTATCTGATGCTGATCTTCCCCTTCATGAAGCTGTCCTCTATGGAGCCACTAAAATCTCTTTGGATGGTAAGGACTTGGTCTGCCTTTGATTCAAAAACTTCAAGATTTGCCCATATTCTCACGAATTCCTGATTAGACGTGATCTTATGCATAAGCCTCAAGACTCTAGTTTTTTCTGATTTTTCACAAGAAGAGACTAGCAGTAGCTAGCTAAATCCTACTGTACTTTTTCTTATCCCCTTAATAGGCGATCATCATGCAGTACAGTATCCTATAGGAAATGCGATAGCTCTACTTGGTAGAAACTTGGCTTAAAATACAGTTTTTTCAATAGCGCGGCTGACCAGAAATTTTTTTCAGTTGTTGTTGTTTTTCAGTCACAGTTGCAAATCGAAATGTTCATGGACCTCATTTGATTAATATAATGCATGATATGTTTTCATGGAATCTGAAGAAGTCCTCATGAAGAAACGCCGTTAATTTTTGAGTTAAGAAGGCAATTCCTGTAGCATTGACGTCTTTTGATTACCTTGATTCCTTGAATATTGAGTAAACACCTCCAGTGGCGGCTCCAGCGCAGTAGTTGGGTGGCTTTTGAGGCATAGGAACTTTGCAGCAAAGCATGGTAGTGTAATGGATAGGCAATGCTTCGTTGTCGGGAAGGTGCTGGATCGAGGTCCCTCTGAGACATGATTTCTCATGAAATATTCATCGTCTTTGTGATTGAACTGGCAACACAGGAACGGCACCCGCAAGCAGAGACGAGAACAAGAGTTTTGATTATTTTCAGCTAATTGCTCGACGAGGACATTTGCTTTCGAGAAACTCTCCAGTCTGGGAACTCAAGCTGATGACCTTATCCTCGAATCCACCGTTGTAAATACCACTGATCAGTGCTTGAGCATGTGTCAAAAGAGGTAATTTTAAATCCTATTTAGGAAAATGAACATTTATTTCGAATACTGTGTAGAAGGTGACTGAAGATGCTAAACCATAAAACCCACTTTCACACATCCTTTGGTCTTTATAGGCTATCGGGATAACTGCCCTGTCTGGTTATTACCGAGGGATACACGAAGTGGCTAATTCTTATGAAGAGGCACCAAAATTTTTCTTCACCAACAATTTGCTTTTTTGAGAAGATCCGCCTCGATACTAAAAAATATCCTGTAGAGTAAGGGATAACTGACTCAATGAGTCAATCATAGGCTTATCAGCACAACTTGCATTGTCAAATGAATCCCAGCAGAATAACTGTAGCTTCAGGGTTGACTGCCGAGCCGCACAATTCAATCGACAGAATTTATCGTGCGACTTCCTTACGGCTTCCCCAAATACCGTATATAATGTAAGGAGGTATTTTGTCCACAATGACGATGTGGATCTGTACGAGAATAATTGCATCGAAGGTTAGTAAACAGGGCTTTTTCTAAGTACAATGGCCTACTCCAAAGGGCCCACAGCCTGTTTTATTACCTGAAAGCACGAGGAGCTCGATTAGGGCAGACTGCAGGAGTCTCAACTGCCATTGGCCAGCTGTCAGCGATAACCACCCATAAGCTCTTGTCGCACCCTTAGCTACTAGGAAGTGGGGAACTGATCGGAAATGGCAATAAGTCATCAAGTATCATTTTGGTGCTATCCAGGCTCCTCCACATCCTCTTCCACTCTAAACCTCTATCTGCATTTATTCTGGCCACTTTCCAAAGACACACTTTCCGTCGCACTTACTAGTTGACCACTGGCTACTTGACCAAATAACTAGGGTGAGCCATACAATGATCAGTTTCGATTGGTTCTACTACTTCTCCCGTTGTGAATTGGGTCAAATACGAGATGGTTCTCAGAGATGCTAACCAAATAGGCGTTTTTACAGTGCCGATGTCGTCTTCGAAATGCAATTTTATGCGACTATCAACTGCTGGCTACACAGACCTTTTTGACGAAATCGTTACGGATGTTGCTGAGGCAGAGGAATGTGAAAGGATTTGTGTCACTCAGACCAATGTAGGCGATCCCTGCAGGTAAGCGGGAATGGGGAAATAGACGGCAGCAAATCATACGAGAAACATCATTGGCCTTTTGATTTGGTTGTACAGTTCAACATGAGAAACATGACCTTTTGTTAAGGTCCTACACTCACGATAGCTGGAAGCAGCTGTGTTACCTTAGTCATTACGATGGACGAGGATCAGGTCGGAGTCCGTTGAACACTCGAAACAAGAATCTTACGTATGGATCGCTGGATGATTGCATAGACTGTGAGTCTACAAGGGGAATGGAGTCTCTGGTTTCTTGGGATGTGCCCTTGCATTCGACTTTTATTCAAAAACAGTAGCAGCATTTGAATGCGAATTCCAAGCTTGACATTTCAGTCCTCATTTCTTTTCTTTAAGTTGCCTTGAAATGTCGTAACGATGCTTTGGAAATTCGTGGGTCATCGATGCGATTGTTCAGGTAGGGTTATTGTATTTCGGTATGTAGCCCTTGAGTAGATGTGCCCATAGTCAAGAGCACGGTCTCTGTGGTCTTCATATTCTGATTTCATGTCAACTTTTTTGTTTTTTTTTTCGCGATTTCAAGTGATTTTTGAAAGGCTAATAAAAGTGCTTCGCCTCCAAACGACAGCGATCCCTTTCAGTGGTTCACTGAAGACGAAACGATTGAAAGATGTGATTTGCGAGAGGACAGTAACATCGTCCTATCAATTCAGCGTATTCCTGCCATATAAGGAATGCGGTATCGAAGAAACGGTTCATTATATTCCTTGATATTTAACGAACTTATTACAACCTCCTTAGTTATTTGGACTTACACCTTCAGTGGAATATTTCAGACAGTGCCATTCCCATCTTACAGTGGGCTGATACATGTAAAAGAAGGTAGCACTACTTTGGTAACGATACGCGACAAACTTCTTCAGGTAAGGCAAGGAACATTTTTCGTGTCAGGACCATGGTGATACGATATTTTTGTAGGTTCATTGTCATATCCATCCACAAGTAGATACCGTTGATCAGGCTATATCTACCCAAATGGAAGTACACGACTCGAATCGAACAGATCGCGTACTGTAAGTTAGTCCTGAGTAAAGAGAACTTTTTAGTTTTGCCTGAAGCCGACACCACCCGAGGTCCTTTTGCTCTGCTCAGTTCTTTTTTACTCACCCGCTTTCTTCCTTCCCGAAATACAAGAGAATGACGGTACCAGATGTCTGTTGGGCTCTCAACATTACATAATTTCTACAATTCGGCCTAATTTAGCCATGAGCAGTTTCTTCTCCTTTTGAACCCTGCCCTATCCTTTAGTGGCTACTCATTCTTGTATTCTCTGGAAGAAAAAATACAGCATGACTGTATGGTGCCGCGATTTTCTTTGGATTCCAACAAATCAATACCCATTTATTTTAGGGCAAACAAAATAATTTTCGTACCATCACAACCTCCTCCCAGAACTCGCTACTCGCTTCGTGTACTGAACATGGACGATGCAGAAACGGATGTTGTACACGCCAATGACGAAGGCTGGCTTTCACTGACTGTAAACGAGGCATGTGACCATCACTATGTTTCAGAAAACACTTATTTTCGGGATTTTAATCGGACAATCGATCCACGTGGAGGAATTATTTCTTTTTAGATTTTTTTCTATTTTTTATAATTTTCTTCAGTAATTTACAAGAGGTACCGGGTAGATCGACAGAATTCAGTGAGCCTTTCCACTGCTCCATTTTGAATCGATTTCAGGTGTCTGACCGTGGAATTACTGATGAAACAAGGTTTCTTTGAGATGGTTTTCTATTTTTCGAAGAATTCTGTCCTGAAAATGAACGAGTTTTTGATCATTCCTTACGATCAGTTTTAGGGCCCTCAAAGTCAGATCTCTGTGTCGAACATGGTCGCGAGAGACATTAACACTAAGGAGACTATCAAGCTCATCAACGACGATGGGTCAGTTATTATGGAAAAATTTCAATGAAGTAAAAGTAAAGTAAAAAAGAAAAGTAGAGTCTTTTGGCTACAACCAATCTCGTCTGAGGGATGCGCCTACCATTCGACTTCCAATGTCTTCCAATTCCAATCACCCGATGTACTAGTCAGTGCTTTTGTCCTCCCAGACGAGTCTGATACCAACTACCCAACCCTGGAGGGATGGAAGGCTTGATTGTCCTAAGCGGATATCGATCTGGGATTCAAACCCGTGACCAATCGTGCGCCGCTTGCCACTACAACACCTCCGCCCCTTCAATGAAAAGTACCTGGATAAAATTTTGGTCAAGAGGAGTGGCACTGGTTAAAGAGGTAATACCATTCTCTAGGAATCCAATGAATCCAGGTCGTACATTGCTGTTACAGCTAAGACATGCCATAGTTTACCGCTACCTTTTATCCACTGACTCAGTAGTAGATTTGATAAAGAGGGAAAAGTGTTGACCAGTTTACGGACCTTTCCAAATATAGCACTACTCATTAAAAGTCACCCACAATTTCAAAGTGAAGTGGCGTGGCATGTGAGGACCGATCGTAATGCCCATATCTTTTTACTCGAGGAGTGTTATTGTAGAGAGATCCTCTCGGACACTGAATGTTTACGTTACAGCTGTCAAGCTCAGAAATTCTACAGCACCATCTTTCAGCTGTGTTGTCCACAAGTCGATTATGGGTATCTCACGACCGTCGTCACGTGAAATTCGATACAAAATTAATTTTGGTGGTTTTCATGATCAGGTAAGTAAGTCAAACATTTTGACATAAGCGTCCATCTATGTCTATGGGGAATATTTTTTTTAATTTTTTTCATTCCATTTGTTTTACTTTCACATAAACCACACGGCTTGTTCACACTTCAGAAGAGACATATCCGTGACATACAAAGCTCTTAACCTATTGCCATGCAAGACTTGGCCGATTTTAGAACAAAATTTTTATCAGTGTACTGAAATTTTGACTCACCTTTCCCTTTTAGTCGGGTTTTCCCATCGGGAGGGGCTGGAGGAACTCTAGTACTCCTTTGATCGTTTCGAGAAACTTCAACTTCTCGTTCAGGCTCAGCTAATCTACCAAGCATTGGTAGAGACGTGCACATTCGACTGCTATCCAAAGTGTAATCAAAAGTTGTGGCTGGATGAAGGTGATAAACCAATGTGAGTTCCAAATGATTATTCGGTTCACTTCTATCTGTCTGTAGCTGAACGGAGCTGAAGTATTGAGTTCTCTGTTCGTATACCTACCATTGAAGAACATATTACTGAAGTAAGCCAGCATAGCCAAATATCAGCTTGAAAGGTGTCGGAGACGACCTAAGTTAAGAAACCTTGAGTTGACCATAAAAGAGACTCTGTCTTGTCATAGGCTGGCGGACACCGCATGTAACTGTATAGACCGCAGACACATTCAAACGCCATTACGATTCCAAATGGAAGCCGAATGGGGAGCGCATAAAGGCCAAATGACTCCTACTTTCATTTTGCCACCCGAGCCCTGCCCATCACCTATTGAGCACCAAGCGCGGACTCTTACGCCACTGTGTTTTTGAGGGATTTAGCGGGATACTGAAGTAATTGAACAAGAGAGTAATATTCACAGCTCGCTTTTTAGTACAGCTACAGTACCTTCAGGGATGAAAGTCACAACACGATTCGTCGAAGGCGTGCAATAGGTGCCAGACAGATTGAATTGACCCAAGATATCTACAAGGTTGGTACTGAATTTTGTTTGCAAGGCACTAGTGCCTCAGAATTCGGGCATGTTTTTCATCTAATGAGCACTTTTTAGGTACATGGTAGCAGGATTACGGTAGTGACTGGGATGGCTTCGAAACATCAGCATGATTCATCGGGATTTCTTGGAGATCAGAAGGTACCTGAACTGAGAAGTGGACGACAAAATCTGCATGATGATGAAGTGCATATTGAAGTGGTCAGTTTCGTTACTAATTACTACAAGCCATTTTGCATTGGATTTGCTGTAGATGATGGAAACTAATAGTAGGTACCGTACCATAGTTACTCAAGAACTAATCGATAACAAAGTCGAACCACCTTTGCATACATAAAAGGGAGGATTACCATCCCTCGTTACAGTCCTGAACTTAGGAATCCGCTTTACTATGTGAAATGACATGTTTCAATTTGGAATAAGGCCAAGAGAAACCAGGAGTGAAAACTTTCCCTTCTTAAGCTCTTTGTTCGGGATTTCAATTTCAAGAAGAAAATTTTCATTTAGGTGGAATCTCGTCCGATCTCATCTGCACTGGAGCAGTGTTTTTCTGACGACATCACTTGCCTGTTCACCGTAATCCTTGCCTCCATACAGTTGTTTTTGTTGGCGTCATGCCTATGTATCGTATACTGCTATATCCAGGTTTGTTTTAGGAACTCTTGTGTAGATCTTGTTTTCGGAAAAACCCTCGCCGCCCCTCTTACAGAGACCTTTAAGTTGACATCTTTTAGCAGTGGCGTTCCTATCGTAGTCTACATGAAGCGGCGTCGCCCGTCCGAATCGAATACGAGTTAAATGGTCAAACGGACTCTTCAAAGTTGAACACTGCTCGACCACAATGAAGATGAATTCCAGCGGATTCCCCTACTTCATCATTCTTTCCACAGTCATCCATCCGCTACGATCTTTTCATGACTATACCAGACGGTGTCCAACTTTTGCTCGCTTGAATGCTTCCGTTATTCGGTCGGTGCTGCTAGCCTATTCCCTTTAGGTTCTTTTTCTTCTGCACTTTAATAAGACGGGTTCCTTGTTGTCTTTCGCTGTGAAACAAAGATTTATGTGCAATTTGATGCTATTAAAACGCTCTTCTTTGTCTTTTTCTTTTATAAGCAATATATGAATATTTCACTCATTAAACTGAATGTAAAGAGCCTGCATGAAATGAAATTTTTCAAAAATAATATCAATCAAATTAAAAATATGACTCAAAATGAGCGAAAACGGCTCCTGGCAAGTTGACTTAATGATAGAAACTGAAGAAATGTGATTGTGAGCTTTAACTCATCCAGAAACTGGTTCCCAGTAGCCACAGGACGGAGGGAGAAGTTCCAATCATAATTTCTGTGAGCTCAGTTACCGTGAGCCTCTCTACCATATCTACTGATGTTCCAACTTCTGGACCTACTTTATTTATGTGTTTAACAATGAATAGCAAAGAGAGTCACTGCAAGACGCGCCACGCATCCAATTTTCGCTCGCAAGCTGAGGAGAAGTTGATATGCTCTAACTAGCACGACTTTCTTTTTCGGCGTAGTATTTAAAAGGCTTTATTCCCATTTATAAAGCCTCTCTTCTTGGTGAAGAACCGCTTCATTTCAAGCCACCGTGAAAGTTAAAGCATGAATGGGAAGATTAACAGTCAGTCACTTCTCAGCGATAGTTTCTTTGATGTAATCAAAACTTTTCCTAGTGAAGGGCTGAACCTCTCCCATTCCATCATGAAGGAGCACGCTGCAGGACCATACGGAAGTTCAGTGAGTGTAGAGGGAGTTCATACCTGAAGCATCCTTGCATTCTCCTTTGAAATGGGCACAACGAAGGCAAATTCCATAATTTTTAAGGTACACTTCTGGTACGTACCCCCTCCTACACTTACAGGATTTCCGTGTGGTCCTGCAGCGAAATTCTGACTAGTAAAAGTCATTTCTTCGAACTCTAGTTTTGCTTTTGCGACGTAAACAGAATCGAAAGCTTTTTTTTCACTTTCGGAACTTCCATCTCCTTTAACCTAGGTTCGATTCGATTTAACAGTAACTATTCAAGTACAAAATAATGGAAACATTTTATTTCAATGACAAAACCTGTTGAAATGTACACGTAACAGGTAAAAGGTATTGGTATAAACAAACAAGTCTTCTGATTCTTAGAAAAAGAAGTCGTCGTCGTCTTCTTCTGCTTTGTAGTAGTTATAAACCTAAAGTAGGGCGGAGTAATTTTTCTATGCAATCTTGGGGGTCAAAATGAGATGCAGCCCGAGTAGTCTAAGTGAATGGAAAATTCCTAAATCATGATCCACAACTTTTTTCCATTGAGAACGGCTCCAGACAGACCCTTTTCAGAAACCCATATAGAACTAGTTAGACGTGATACTTTTTTCAGTCTCTACCCACCCTCGAAGAGCTCAGTGTTCGAACGGCAGGTGGTACAGGGAATCCGTCTTCACTCTTTGACTGAGCGAATCCAAGACGAGCTTGTCCAATGTCGAATATGGTGTAATACCTTAAAAAGGGGCGTTGATCGTCTTATGTTCATTGTTTCAACCCAAATACTGCCAAACTGAACCACAAACCTCCCAATGAAGACGTCTCCAAGGATCCACAGTTCACCAATTCTCTCGGGGAAGTCCATACCCATGAAGCCAGACAAACAAATTGTTTTTCCTCCTGCTTTCACCTACAATCCGAGAAGACTGATTTTTATACGTCCTTTTCCACGAATTGTATTAAGCTTACACTTAAGACATAGTCCTCTCCTTTGAGAGTGAAGGTCTTGCCTTCGATCACAAACGATATTTCAGGAAGGGTTGGGACTTTGTCGCATGGAATCATGTACTGAAAAGGGAAAAAAATTCGACATGTTTTTTCTTAAATCACTATAGAGTATCTTTAGTTATCATTATAGTTTATTATTCATTAGGAGTTGCAATATTTCTTGGGTTTAATATGCTTCATTATGTCTGCTGGATCTGACTCACCTCTCCCTTCATGAGTGGCTCAGCTCCGATGAACTTCTGGATCGCCTCGACTTGTGCTTTTGGACCAGCAATCAGAGATGTGCCGGTATCGGCAATAGCTTGGCAGCCGTTCGGACAAGCTACTGCTGACGAACCTCCTTGGACCTGGATTCAATGAATGACTGCAATTTGTTTAGCAATAAATAGTATTTATTTCAAAACCAGTACCGCATCCATTTTAAACTGCCAATAGCCTCGACGGGTTACTGGTGTCCATGTGATTGGGTCAATATAACGACGTGAATCCATACCACCCAATGTGATTTCACCACCAAGGTCTGAGTCCGGATTTCTAAAAAGTTCGTATTTGTTCGGTCCCAGATGGAAGAAACATTTAGATCTTCTGGAAGATACTGTTCACGGGAATTTGATGCTTGTTATGGATCAGTAATTTGGTCCAAACCGCTTTAGTAGTTTTGCTCTCCCATCCTGTAAGTTCCCTTGGTTTTTCCATTAGGTAGGCGACTTACAAAAAACTCACAACTCTTCTGTGGACATTGGTAAAAATGGTGAAATGAAGTTCAAAACTCGTCTTTTTCAGAAAAAGCCCCAAGGGAGGAGAGCGATGGGCGGAGCTGAAACCCTTAATGCATAGAAGGTGTAAAGGCGGCAGGTGACGTGATGACCCTGCGAAACAGGAATCTCTTGCTTATCAGGTACCTTACTCGACTTGGAGCAGCACTTCACCTCGAAGATGACAGTTTCGCAGGGTTCCAGCAGTTAACCCACACGTACCCAGACTCCTTTATTTTTTTAAATTTTTTCCCAAAAGGAACAGCAGCCTTTTCGCCGCGGTCGCAGATTTCATAATATAGGAGTTCAATGGGTTGTGAGGAAGAGGTGGTGAGTCAACTTTCCGTGTACAACACCTTCATTGTTATTGTAATTCTCTACCTGTTCAACCAGAATGAGAAGACTGGACTTGGGACTTTCTTCTGTTCCACGAATGTATGGAATACTGGCGTAACTCCTGAAGAAGTTCGTTAGATTTTTTACTTTGCATCTTCGTACCCAGCTGAAGCTCTGCGTGCACTTTTTTTCCAATTTGAAGATAACACTGCCTGGTTGTTATGTTTGCATGGGGTGATTAAGTGCATGCATAGTCACTAATCAAATAAAAAATCTCAAACTGAGCAGAAAATCACCAAGGACAGCAATCTCTGGAAAAGCCATGCCAAGAATTCCGTCGAATTTCNCTGTTCAACCAGAATGAGAAGACTGGACTTGGGACTTTCTTCTGTTCCACGAATGTATGGAATACTGGCGTAACTCCTGAAAAAAAATTTGGTAGAACTTCCACTTTTTGCAGTTTCGTACCCAGCGAAAGCTTTGCGTGCACTTTTTTCATTTTCAAGATAGCACTGCCTGGTTGTTATGTTTGCATGGGGTGATTAAGTGCATGCATAGTCACTAATCAAATAAAAAATCTCAAACTGAGCAGAAAAATCACCAAGGACAGCAATCTCTGGAAAAGCCATGCCAAGAATTCCGTCGAATTTCGCTGCAATAAACGTAAGGCCAGGTTCACTGGTAGCTTCTGCAAATGGCTGTGCTTCTGCACAGATTCCGGCTACCTGAAAATTGCAAAATAGTGTTCCTTATGAATAAAGTATAGGCCGATAGCCTGAAAAAAATGATCTAAAAAAGCCTCAAGCGAATACTCGAAGGATCGTGATTCGCGACGCAACAATTCTACGAAAAACTCTTGAATGGTCCTAATATCCCACTTGAAAAGCCTACTCCAATTTGGGCACTTTTGAATGCTTTTTACTTACACAGACATTGTCCTTGGAAATGAAGCCTTTCATGGATCCGGTTCCATACTGAATAGCCATTTTACGTCCATCTTCTTTGTACGTGGACGAGGCTCCAGAGTCATATCGATGATGCAACACTGAACCACTTCTTCAGCTCATAGTAATATAACTTTGATCAAAAATAAAATGCATCAGCAGCAGTGACAGGCGAACTGATTCTTCGGACATCTTTCGTGATCATAAACTTAAAAGGACTTTCAAAATCGTTTCGTCGTCTTTGCCATTCGAAATGACAAGACGTATCGATCACAACCACTTCATCGTGAAAGTCCGTGGACAGCAAGAAGGGTAGGGTGAGTGATGCGCCATGCATTCGACATCCACTCATAAGGTAACAACGGTTGGAGGCTTATTGGGACCAGACAGTAGCTCCCTTAAGTAAACCTCCTATTTTTGTCTAATCCTGAGAGTGACATCACTATGAAAATTTCTTTAACCTCCTAAATGCGCCTTCTCGATGGGCAAACAGTCATTTGGCACTAGAATCGATCTGGGGGACAAACCACAACAAATCACTACAAAGCTCTCCAACATTCCAATTCGCAATATATTAGTTATGTATCGATTAGTTCCATTTCCTAATCTCGAGCGGAAAACCAAACACCGTTTCCCCTTATAGTTTTCGTGACATTGATGGCCACTCTGTTTATCAGTCATGTCAGGCCACCACAGTTATTGAAGGGACCGATAATGAACCAGCTACAGCTGATATGGGAGATGGACGGCTGTTCTCCAGTTCTCGCATTCAGTCAAAACAGAGCTCATCAGTGAAACCATGCAAGTATTGAAAACGATAAGGTTACATGGGCGAAATGTCACGAAAATCTCTGATATGCAGTCAATGATTTCCTACAAAGAAGGACTTATTTAGATCCAATGGAGAGTACAAGTGCTCAGTTAGGGGGCCTAGATTTGTTGTGCAGTAATTTTCTGTACATGTATAATAATCGGTTGGAGGAAGGCATAGCGCCCAGAAGCACACTTCGCACACATGATCCCATGATCGAATCCTGAATCAACACTCACATATGGCAACCAAGCCTTAAATCCCGTCGGGGTCGGTCATTGGTAACAATCTACTCTGAGATGATAAAAACATTGTATGGACCACATACGCATTCAAACGCATTTACGAATCTGTATAGAGGTTGAGTGTGGGACACATCTTAGAACGGGATCGAGCAACCACGGAGGACTTTGTTGTTTTATACTTTATCTGTACTGATCAAAGACTCACTGCAAGCAATGTCGTAAAATGGGCACTTTCTTGATGGAACCCATAAATTGGACGAGCCAGTGTCAAAGATAACAGTGAAGTTTTGTGCTGGTGTTCCAATTTGGATTGTGCCGAAGTACTGGGCCTGGAATGGGACAAATAAATGATCTATTTCTCCTTGATCACACCATGATTTCCGAGTACAATTGTCTTACATCCATGTAATTTCGAAGAAGTTCGTCAATTTCCGATCCGGACTCCAGTTTCCCGGGTTTATTAGCTCCATATCTTGTGAACAGCTTTTTTGCAAAATGACTTCTTTGTCGTTGGTAATCTTCCCAATTCCCAGAGCCAAGCAATCGTTCACGTAGAGTAGGTTGACGTGACAGAGGTATACTGGAATGAGGATTTTCTGTTGGTCACGAATCGGCCTGATCCTCGACTTTTGCTTGGTCACAAGGAAAGCGACAGGTGTCACTTTCAGAGAGGTTCGAAAACATTTTTACGCCTACTCCCTACTGCTGCAAGACGAGAGAAACATGTGGTCATGCTCAACTGGAACCGCTGGAAACCACATTTTTGTCAATGCTATCAGCTGCGCATTGTAATCAGGGGTGAGGGTGGGGCGGGAGGATTCCATTTCTAATAGTAGGACCTCTTGGAATTCTACCGAAGTGCTTCTTCTAGTGGGACAGCGGGGTCAACCGAGCGGAACAACAGTTTGATCTTTTACAACGAGCGCCGTACATTTTAAACATTAGTATAGAATGAAGCCAACGTGTGTGAATTTGAATCGTCCCCTCCCTCCCTTCCCAGGTCAGACTTCTCCTGCCTTGCACGGTCTTCGAAACAGTACTTGAATACAGATATCCTGGTAAGAACTCACGATCTCACATGCTGACGATGATGACCGAATTTTCGGTGGTAAATACTGCAACTGGCTATAGCAACAAGAAAGAAAAGTAGTAGGAGACGCGACATCATCGATACGTGTCGGACACAGCGACACAGGCAGTCACCGCCCGGAATCGTGCCACTATCACCCTGATGCTCCGCCCACAGCTACACTTATGCCAGGGTCAAGTGTGCAGTAGGCCTTTGAACTTCGCCCCTTGAAAGTCGGCATTTTCGGAGGCATTCGGGTTCTGTAGGATAACGAATTTATCAGTATGGAGTGATACTGTAAACAGCCTAACAATGTGTGAAGAAACATGCGATTTCGGTAGATCTATACTTCCAGCATTCCGTCCCTTTATCTTTTCGTTTGTTTTTTGCGGGAATACTTTAACGGGATACAAATTAATTAAAAATATTCCTGTGGTTTCATTCCCAGGTTGTGAGATTAGATAGGATTCCATTAGTGCTATGATCATGAGGCGGGATGGTAACCCAGGAGGGCATCTAGGGGATTGTGGAGGATGGACTTTTTGGAGGGAAAGGGAGAAGGTCAGGATCTTTAGAAGTGAGCCTAGGTTTACCTCTTCAGACGTGTGCTCTCATTTCAGTTGAGTCACAGGAAAGCACAAATCGATGATTGGACATGACAAGAGACGATAAATCAGCAATTAACAGCGCAAAAGTAAATTGTGATGTCAATAGGAATCTACCTGATTCGTGGTCAGGTAACAGCGGAACTCTTTCATTGAAATTTTGCACGATTGTGGAATTAACAGGGTTCTCCTTTGCCCCTGTAGTCTGAGGAGGTCCTTCATTGTGCCAAGTTGCAGGAAGCGTGAATTCTCTATACAAAAGTGCCAAGATGTTGTGAAGTGCTCCTCGACCTTAGCCTTTCGAAGGCGCCCGGTCAGCATGTGAAGACGCTGTATGGATTCTTTCCAGCAAAACCCGCTCCAATAGTAAAATGATTAATTGGCAAAAAACCCCATCTTATGACTGTAGGTAATTCGAACACCCATTCAGAGAAGCGTTCAGTCAGTCTTCAAGACCTCTGAACTGTCTCAAAATGACTAATTCGTTCAAGGACAACGGCCACCTACACGTTTCGTCTGGAACCACAAAGGGAGCGCTAGACCGCTTCAATATGCACAAAGGCCACAACTGGACGGCTATATAGTGACGTTAGATTTCTTTTACGGTCGGACCGCTGAAATCTTCTGTGCAGATGAGCTCGCTGCCATCCAGCACCTCTCATACAGAGCAGAGATCACCCCCTGGTGATCTCTGCTCTGTATGAGAGGTGCTGGATGGTGATTAGCTTGACTTCGGACTTCAATCACTCCATCTCGGCTTTTCTTACTTGACAAAGTGGCCAACGCCTCATAGCCGACCCAAATGAACCGTAAATTGAGATTGGACTGTTGCTAAGCATCTGCAGTGGTCAATGACCAGTAAACGGAATATAAAGAGAGAATCCTTCCCGCTTAGACCTTTACCCAGACCACCTCTCCGTCACTAACCTGAGTAGCTGAAAATATCAGAAACCAGAGCGGTTTTAGTTTCATTTTATAAAAGCTGCTGAGTCTTGCGTTCCATCTATTTTACCCTCTTCAAATTTGAAATTTTTACAGCATGGCTGCTTTTAAGCAATCAAAGAGGATCCTCCTGGCTTGTGGCGTGCTACTGTTTCAGGTTTCAGAAGACTTTTTGTATCAGCAACATTTCAGCAACATTATGAATTTGAGAATCTAGGAGAAAGGGGAAGGGGAGACTAGAACAACGGTTTTCAAATGCAGAATATGATGCTTTCAGACAAAATTGATGCCTTCGTACACGTTTTACCAGACTACGGAACCATTTCAAGGAGAGGTGAAATATGAAGTCATGCAGAACAGCTTTAACGAATGTGCTAAACAATGCCTCTACGATTTGGACTGCATCTATGTGTCCTATGTCGAGAATTCCGACACGGCAGAAGTACGGTGATTCAAACATTTAACTCATTCCATGTAGATTT